TGACACAAGATCATTATTGGTTGCGCCTATCGATGAATACCCACCACTACGTATCGTATTTATGAACGACCGTTTTAGTGGGTTTATTTTTGTTTACCGTAGGATGCCACCTACAAATATTTCGAAGTAATTCTTGTTGATCCCAGTCACAAAGCAATCCGTCGCGATCCGAAAATTAATTGGATCGTCTCTGCAAAACATAAACACCGCGAGGCTCGTGGTCTTACCAGTATTGGTAAGAAGAACCGTGGCATCGGAAAAGGTCATCGCTTCAATAAGACCAAAGGTGGCGGTCGTCATGCTAGCTGGCTTCGTCGCAACACACTTTCTCTACGTCGCTATCGTTAATTAACTATTCATTTTAATAAATACATTGGAATTTTGATACTTGATGATAGCGATTTATTTGCTTTTGCTTTCTTGATGGTTGGCGACCAATATTCTTTAATTTACGATTAATGAAAATGAAGACGAAGAATGTTCAATTAGCTATATGAAAGGTTTTTTTTTATTGATCCAAATATCACAGTATATAGTTTTACTATCTTAATTTGCCCAATTGATTGACGCAATTCAAGAATACACGAGTAGTGGCAAATGAAGGACTCGGAAAGAGAATTAAATTAGTTTTTTAGCATTTTAAATTCATTACTATTTGTGAAATTGAAATGGCCATGTTTACGAACATTTTTAACAAAAAGAATCAAATGTAAACAACAACAACAAAAAAAAAAAAAACTAAATTTAAACTTCTTAAAATTTCTAAACCTATCGTGTAACCTCTAAATTTATTTATGTACACACATTTTCTAGATGGACGAACGGTTTCACGCCTCCTTTTCTTTTTCGGCTTCATCCTCAGAATTAGGTTGAGATTCAACTTTATCATCATCATTCTGATTAACAAGTTCTAATTGTGCGATCAGTTCTTGTTCACGCTGCTTCAATTGTCGCAACTCACTCTCCAAGGAAGCACATGCCACTTCCACTTGGAGTGTTTGACCGATCATCTTGGTCCACTTGAGTTCCAGCGATTCAATTTGGCTTCCCGCCTGGAGCTAAAAATGAATAAGGAAGTTAATCCATGCACCCGCTTGGATCATACCTGAAAGTCATGAATCACCTGTTCCGTTTTTCTTTGCTTATTAAGTTCCAAGATGCTTTGACGATATTCTTCCAAAGTTTTTTGATATTGCTGTAATTCGTGTTCCAACTGGAAATTATGGAGTCTCCACGCATTCGCGCCATATTTTTGGAGCAGTTCCAGGTTGAATAATCTGAACGAAACAAAAAATTCAATGTTATTCATTCATGGTGAAATCCTTAATTGCGATTCACAAGGATTACCGCAGATCTTGATGTTGCAGTTGAGATTTCGAGTTATCCACGGCTTTGCTCCATGACTCCACATCCTCCTTATTGTCGGGCTCGGACAATTTATATCTACTCGTGTCCATCTCTACAATCGCCTTTCCCTGTTGAACACGTTGATATTCGGTTGCAAGTATGGGCGAATTCTACAGATAAATAGGGAAGAAGCATTAAGAATTTAAAAGCTTGACGAATTAAAGATAAGTATTAAATAAATGATATGTTCACCATCACCAATATTTAGTCATGAAATAACTACTTTGAAAAATTCAAAATTTGAAGGAAAGTTTAATGCTTGATCCCGTTTAGAATTTGACCGCTTTCGCATTTCTTGTTCCACAAGTTTGTCGACCTTTGCACGCATTCCTATATTTGCGTTATTTTAACACGCGTGAGCAAGGTGATCTCGATGAAAAACGAATTCAAGTGTCGCATGTACCTTCGTAACCGATCTCGTGATCGATGTCTATCGTGGTTGATAAATATCGTGGTCAATAGTGTTCGATTTAAAACACGGAAATCAAGCTTAGGGAAATAATTACACGGTAAAGAATCAATTGTCACTTCGGGATATTCGTTTGTGTCCATTTTCGAATTTAGAAGAAAAGCGAGAGAGAAATTATATTATTTATTATACAGTAATAGCAAGTTAATGATTATGATGACGTGCATCGATTGTTGTAACGTTACACTGATTAAATCACGCCTGAAGCACCAAAAAAAATATTTTTTTTCGAAATGTTTCTTTCCAAGTTCTCGAAACGAGAAATTCATCAAAATTTAAATTTTTTGTCGAGATTTCGAAATTTTCAAATTTCATCATTTCACTTCATCCCAAAACTATTTAATCCATCGGATTTTTCTCTCTCTTGCGTTTCTTCATTGTTGCACTTTAATTTAAATAAGAATTGCGTTAGAATAATAATAACGCCTAATTCTCTTCGGAATGAACTCGGATCACCGAATACCCGTTTTCCCAGACTATTATTCCATTCCGCATATTATCCTAATCCTAATGCCTTCTTAGGGTCAGAAAAGCATAATTCCCTTAGTCAGTTTCAACGTGTTCATTATACAAACACAAGCGCGAGATTTAAGAGAGATAGAGACGGGTACGATTACCCTAGAAATTCTATAAAACGGGAATCCAATGAATCCAATTTTAGAGATAGTCGCGAAGATTCTTTTCCACGACGAGAATTTAATGACCGATCATATAATAATTCATCATCGACAAAGCGCGATTGCCCAACAGGTAGGTCTTCATCGCATTCATCTTTAATGCGAAAATATCGTAGCGGACGGCCGAGATATAGTTCAGAACAATTGGAACACGTTATTCGTCCTCAAGAGGGTGAATTGGAACGCAGATACTTTGACAAAACAAGATATAAACCTAGGGAAGCAATAAAGTCACCAATCACATATGAATCCAATGCACGACATCCAAACACCTCCAATGACAGCGGGCACGATCTGAACCCGGAAAAAGATTTAAAATCTAAAAGAGGTCCGAGATTCGGTGGAAGTCGAGATTTGATTTCTCATGGTAATCGATTTTCTTCATCGTATGATGACGAATCTTCGGTCCGAACAGATATCCTTGAAGATCGATGGAACAACCGAGGAAGGGACACAGGGCAACATGAAGGAGACAAGATTGGTAAAGATGATGGTCGACGCAAGGACGAATCAGAAAATGTTCGACTTTCATCGTCAGACAGAAGAGCATTTGAGTATAAGAATAAGCTAGCTGGACATCGGGTATTTGTTAGTCCGGATTATTTCGACGATGCAAGCGTGGTGGTTAAGGATGAAAGCGTAAAGGTCAGTAAACTCAGTAAACTCCCGTTGTGGAAGAGAATTAGGAAATACCGGATTGGAGGAATAAAGAATGACAAATCAAATTTGGATTTGTTTGAAGGTATGCATTTGATCTATTGGATTGATCTTGGTCTCGGTGTTCTTTACGCGATTTTGATTTGCCTATCTATATACTTCAATTATATTTCGACATTGAAAAAAAGAGGATTTTACTGAATGGCTAAAGACGTTACGATTGGCGAAATATTCTATTTTATTCAAAAAGATGTCGAAACGTAAGATTCTTAAATTGACCGATGCGAAATTGGAATCTTTGCAAATAACGTTAGGTGCACGCAGGAAATTACTGAAAGAATTAGCTAGAATTAATGAGACGAGGCAAGCGGAAAAGAGGAAGGCGCAGGGAGAGGAAAAAAAAGGGATGGGTTTGGAAGGTACAATTGAGAAACAGGGGAAAAGTGAAGGTGAGAACGAAACCGCAGGAGATAGTGGAAGGTTGAATAATCCGGTAAGCGCTTGATATGTAACCTAATCATGTTATACAGGAGGTGTTTAACTCGTTGCAAAAGGTTGATTGTTATAATTAAGTTGTCCATTGTTTCACTAAAGAACAATTATCAATAATAAATCATTTACCAAAGATTTTTTTGTGGTCATTATTAATCAAGTTTATCATTTCAACTGATAACGTTAATTATTTTTATACGATATTAAGTGTTACAATAAAAATAAAATTCACATACGAATTTGAAATATTGAAATGTACTGTACATTGATAAAAAATTTCTTTATTAAATCGACTTGTTATTATCACAACAGTTATTTAAAAATACATCTTAAAAAATATATACATATTTTACTGAAGAGGCATTACCAATTCCTCACAATGCACATGTTTTCTTTATTTCGCATTTCAAATTACTGGGTGTCGACCTTTACGCCCAATTTTGGATTCTCTTTCCAAAATTTGTCACCAATGATGTCATCATGTAGTACCGAAATAGTATTTTTCTTCCTTGTAACTTCGATGCCTTTTTGGTTAGTTGTTTGCATTTCAACCTAATAAAAATACCAATAACATGAATTAATTTTACCAAAATGAATCAAGCTTTCCGAAACAACGACACCCATTACCTCTTGTCTGATTATCACCGAACCTTTACGATACATCGCCGGTAGGCGGTTGTAGTTGATGTTAAATTGAGAATAAAGTAGTTCATTTTTTTCTGAAGAAACAGTGCCCTTTTTGCGAATACAAAAATATTAGACAAAGACAAAACGCGACCTTAAGTTAGGCCAGTTGATAAATACTTTTAAAATATTTTCTGCCTCAAATTTTGTCTTCCCAGCTTGGACCAAAGCCCAATAACATGTGTTATATAAATTGTTAATGTGACCTAAGAAGGAATGCAAAAAATATATATATATATAAGAACGAGCGCATAAAATTAGATCTATAAAATTTAGAAAAACGTACAATCTACTTGTCTCCAACTTAAATAATCTCTGAGATTGTTATCTGAAGGATATAATACAACACGTCCATCAAACGAAGGAGGATAGAGTAGTTCTTTAAGTGGAAAATACTCTTTCCAATAAAACACGTAGCTTGAAGTAAATAGGCTGACAATGGTGGAAACGATTTTTCTGATCATACAAGTAAATGTCAATTGACGATTCTTTACAACCAGGTCGACGGGATAAGATTCATAGTTACGTTTCACGCCGATCGAATATATTACAATCCTTTTTTAATATAAAGCTTCATTGATCGTTTACATGTAACGCGTGTTTGATTAGTAATTTTGTCATCAAATATTTAGTGAACATTCTTTTTTTTTTTCTTTTTTTTTTTTTTTTGCAGTACCTGTATTCATCACTCTGTCCATACGCCAACACAATGTCTTGGATTTCATTCATTACGAAGGCTGCGCATTTATTCATAAGATCAAGGGCAAAATGATCGTTGGGCTTCGCAAACTGGTGTCTTTCCGAAAATCTACCTTCAGACGAGTAAATGCATTAAATAAAAAATAATCTCGGAGTACAGCAATTACAGAGTAGTCCGTCGAAAATATTACTTATGAAAACCACGACCGTCTATACGAACGACTGACCACGTATTCGGAAGAAGTGAATCAGTTTTCTCGAATTGTTTAACATATTCGTATTTCGATTTTGCCATCCGTACAAGTACTATTAGAATTTGACCGTATTCGCCTATGCCAAGTGATTATTATTTGGAAGAATCAGTATAAAAAACTGCACTAATGAAAGAAAGATAAGTTCAATAAGGTGATTTCAGATTCGCCTTTTTTCGTCCTCGGCTACAAAACTGCATCAACTTTAACCAAGAATCTAGGTTAACTCTTACACGAAAAGATCAACTCTAAAGATTCTTGTAATTTTATTTGCAGCACCTTCCCGGTTACCAAAGATTTCATCACAATAGTGATATTTTGGATCTGCACAAATATGAAACATAAAACTAACCTGATGAACAAGTTACCAATGGAAGCTTTACCAAACGACTGCCTTGAATTTTCAGGCGCGTTAAACAGACCCACGAAAAAAAAAATCCTATTAAATATGATCAACATGATACAGTTCTGTGTAACGAGCGGCCGGTATTATTCACAAAGAATTAGCATTGAAAAGGATGAACATAAGAAATGGATTACTTAAGTAAATGCATAATATTGTTTTCTGTTATAATCAAGGAATTGGAGTTGAAAAGAATAAGCACAAGATATTTAAGTATTTACAAAAATCTATCAAATAGATCACTTAAGTGAAATGTATAATGCTATAGCTTATGGATTGAAGTTGAAAAGGATAAATATAAGAGAAATATGAAATGTTAAATCAGAAACAATTTTTAAAGATTTTCTAAAAAAAAAAAAGCAAAAGAAAAAAAGGTCAAATAGAGATAAAAAATAGAAAAGAAATTAGAAAAATAAATAAATAAATATTTAAACTAGTAAAACATATTTTCAAATCAAGTCAAGATATACAGTATTAAATTTTTATTTTTATTTTATTTTAACCCGCAGTCAGATCAATATGGCTTGTCCATTTTATTGTAAACATATTTGATATTTATATATTTTATGACTTTTACATATTGACTCATCCGTCTACAAAGTTTAACCTTCTCTAGATGCAACATAGGGGATAATATTTCGTATCCTTTATGGTTTGGATTATTCTCTAGCCACTCAGATCATTGCCTACAGCTCATCACTATAGATCTTCCAAAGTTCTAACTGTAATTAAAAACCAAACCATTTAAAACCTTTGGATATCCAACTATTTATTATATCTACTATATTGCCTTGAGACTTCATTTGTTCTAAGTCTTCTTTTTCTTCTGTTATATTTTTGGAAGAACAAATAGAAAAGTGATTGGTTTCCTTAAGGACTCGATCCATTTTTCTAGTTGTATCAGTTGATACTCTAAACCTTTTGAGTTTGCTGATAATTCCTTGATTTTATTTCTATTCGATAGTAATGCTACAGTGTTTATTTTAAACTTCTTCTTTGAAGATCTTCCTCATTTTTTTATAAAATTTATCAATAGCTTCTTGTGTGGTTGTTACTGGGATCTTAAGAGCTTTGAGATGCTTTTCTAGGATCTTAATCTTGTTTCTATGTATAAAGCCACAGACTATATTATATAGGCTTTCATCCTATTATTTAATATCCTGGATCCATTTTCCTATTACTCTTTTAACTTCTGTCTAACTTTCGTTAAATAGATCTTTTGTTTTTCTGATATTCTGAAGGATTTTATTTTGAGATTTGTTCCATATAACTGATCTTTTATTTTGGATCTTGGGATATTCAAAGAGATGTTTCAGGATTTCCTCTTGTAAATTGTACATTGAGTATATTGTACTTGAATATAAGTCTGATTTTCTTTTCTATATTACTTGAAGGATAGAAAGCTTATCATGGGTTAGATTTATCAGAAAAATCTTGTCCTTGTTGATGCTAAAGAAGGTATAAAAGGTATTATATGGATTGAATTGTCTCCAGAAAATTTGCCAGTCAATTTCTTTACTAGAGTATATCCATCGGTCTTGAATACATTTTTGCTTCATTCAGGCTAGTCCTATTTTTTTAGTATTCTATTTTTTAAAAAAATCTCTAATACTGATATCAATAGTATGTTTTTTCCAGGCTACTATTATAAGAACTTGATCCAAAACAGGTATTGTTGCCAAGTCAAAGGATTTTCTCTTCTGGCTTGCTTTGTTAATCTGTCTGCTATATTGTTAAACTTATTGTTTTGATGGATCTTGATCTTTTCAAGTATGAGACAAAGATTTTTCTTTTGTATTAGATCCTTGATTTAGTTCCATAGTAACCAGTTGTTTATTTTAGTCCATTTTCTTATAGAAATAAACTTTTGCGACTGAATTGTCCTCCATATCTTGATGGCTATACTACAATCTATATATATGGTTGCTTTTTCATTTTTAGATATTATAAAGATTGCAATAAGTATGGCTAGGATTTTTACTCTTGTAGCTGATGGCTACGATATTGCTCCTGCTAAGAATTGATTGATTATTTTATTGTTTTCAATTTGAATCCATGCAAGACCCATTTCAAGTTCATCCTCGCTTTTTGTATATTGCTTGTAAGATTCGTCAGTAAAGAAAGTGAATTGCTTTGTATTGCTTTTATAGTTGTGTCTAAGGCTCTTTATTAAATCTGTTATATACTTCTTTGATTGTATGGCTTGTTTAATCAGTTCGACTTTCCAATTCTCTATTTGTATCTCAATCTCTTTTGGTCCCAATGAATATGTAGTACCTAGTTTATTTGTTGACACTGTGGGCTGTCAATCTGTGGGGTTTCCTGGAAGTGTAAATAGATTCTTTTTCCTAAAACTTTCTTGCCTATTTAGTTGTGGTAATAATCAGGTTTGGGATATATGTGAAATTATTGGTTGTTTGAATGTATGAGGATAACAGATAGTACTATTTGTGCTAGAATTATAGATAAGCTGATATGGTGTGAAAAGTACTTCTCTATTTTGTATTTTGACTTTTCCTATAGTAGTTTCTATTGTTTCAATCAAAACTTCCCAATTGGTTTTCTGTTTATCTATTTTAGGAGCCACTTTTACCATTTGAAGTTCATATTTAATCCATTTTAGAGTTCAGTAGGATTGTTTTAGCAAATCTTGTTGTTTTGTCACCTTTGCTTTAGTTTGTGTATACCAGCTTGGAATAGGACCTTTATAAGTACCAACAAAAATCTAAACTGCTCTTTATTCTCTTATTGTTAATGTGGTCATATTAATTAGTTGATCCAAAAATATTATTTTGTTTTTTTTTAGAGAAAGGATATCTTTCATATATTCTTTCTCATCATTTATAATTATCTTGATAGACATGATGCCTCCTTGAGTATCAAAGATCTTTTTCCATCTCCAACTATTATATATAATCTGTAGCTTCTTTGCCATGGCCAGAGTTACAGCAGCAAGGTTACCTTTCTCAATTGTCTTGACTTCTATTGAATCATCAAATATGTTTTTGGGCTCCCAGTATTTGAGTTGACTTTGTTTAAGTCGGATGACTGTTGCAATTCCTGGAGCTTCACTGTTATTTAGTTGACAGAACAGTATTATTATATAATTTTCAAGTTGAATTTCCCATACACTTTTGAGCCCATAAATTTGTTTGTTGTGTATACAACTATTTGGCATTGTTCTACAAATTAAGGCTTTGTTTTTGAAAGCTTTTCTATATATAGCTATTAGATCATTGCAAACTTTCTCATTCAAGTGTGTGTGCTACATTTTGTATTCTATACAAGGAATTAGAACTCTATTGATAATATACCTGGTATGTTTTTCAGTTAGGCTTTTGTTGCTAATTGTTTGGGTTACTATTTTGATCTCTATCTTGAGTAGATTAATAGTATCCAATTGTTATGTTTTTTTTCTAACCAGATATCCAGGAATCTTGCTTAATCATATTTATCTAGTTTTTTGACTATTAATTTGTCTGTTCCTGCATGAACTATACCTGGATCTACATTGTTCCAGTTGAAGGTCAGAAGGATTGATTTTTCTCTATTGATTTGTGAATTATTTGCCTGATAAAATTTTATGGTATCTTCTAAGATACATTCCATATCAGCTTTAAATTTGGCAATCCAAGTAGTATCATCTATGTATGCTATCACTGCTTGTCTTAGAGAAAGTTTTTCTTTGAGATGTGACTTTTGAAAGTCTGGTATTCATTCGTCTTCCATTATATATCCATAATTTGATTTCCTTGAATTTTGCATAATAATGGATTATAAAAAATTCTCCAAATTAAAAATGAGATTGTTTCCCCTTGATCTATTCTATCACCAGCTATAACTGAATCTGAAAGCTCTATTGGAAGAATTGTTTTATATTTTCTATTTTCAAAGAGATCTATAATTAATTGTCTACTAGTAGTTGGAATATAGATTCTGTTTATAAATCTTTTCAATATCTTGAGACTAATTGTATTATATGCTTTGACTATGTCCTGAAAAAAGATTCATAGTTTCTTTTTCTTTTCTCTGGCTTCTTCACAAATATTGTTTAGAAGTTGAATAGGTTCAGCCATACTTTCTCCTTGTAAGCCTACAAAATTAGGTTCACGTAGAATTTTATGCTTTTTATATATACTGGCAAGTCTATTGATCAATATTTTGGTAAAGCATTTTTTTGTTGTCTCTAGCAATATTATGAGTCTTGTGTTGCTTAGACTACAGTTCCATGGTTTTGGTTTGGATATTGGATAGATATTACTTTCTTTCTATTTTCTTGATATACAGCCCATCTTAATTATCTGATCATATAGTTGTTTGAGAGCCTTTTTTCCTTGAGGGCCTATATTTTTAAGTATTTTGTAGCTAATATGTGA